TCGCTTTCTTGCGAAGGTTGTTGAGAGTGTGGTGGCGCGACAACTACCCCAATACCTGGATGAAGGTGTCTATCTGGATCCGTTCCAGTCGGGCTTCAGGTCACGATACAGCACGGAAACGGCATTGGTTGCATTGGTGGATGATCTCTGGAGGGCTCGGGACAGAGGTTGCTCCTCTATCCTGGTCCTATTAGATCTCTCAGCGGCTTTTGATACCATCGACCATGGTATCTTACTGCACCGGCTGGAGGGGTTAGGAATAGGGGGCACCGTGCTTCGGTGGTTCTCCTCCTTCCTCTCTGACCGGTCGCAGTTTGTGTTGGCAGGAAGGCAGAGGTCGACCTCGAGGCACCTTATTTGTGGAGTGCCGCAAGGGTCAGTCCTCTCACCCCTTCTGTTCAACATTTATGTAAAACCGCTAGGCGAGATCATCCGTGGTTTCGGGGTGAGTGTTCATCAGTATGCTGATGACACACAGCTATACATCTCCACCCCAGACCACCCCAATGATGCCCTTGCTGTGATGTCCCGTTGCCTGGAGGCCATGCGGATCTGGATGGGGAGAAACAAGCTCAGACTCAACCCCTCCAAGACCGAGTGGCTGTGGCTTCCGGCATCCCGGTATAGTCAGCTGGTACCATCACTGACAATAGGGGATGAGATCTTGCTCCCCACAGAGAGGGCCCGCAACTTGGGTGTCCTCCTGGATTCACGGCTATCTTTAGAAGATCATTTGACGGCTGTGGCCAGGGGTGCCTTTTATCAGGTTCGCCTGATCCACCAGTTGCGTCCCTTTCTGGATCGGGACGCCTTGCGCACGGTCACTCATGCCCTAGTTACCTCCCGTATGGACTACTGTAATGCTCTCTACATGGGGCTCCCATTGAAAAGCACCCGGAGGCTCCAACTGGTCCAGAATGTAGCCGCGTGGGTGATTATGGGCGCAGCTCGTTACGCCCATGTAACACCTCTCCTACGCGAGCTGCACTGGCTCCCGGTGGTCTTCCGGGTGCGATTCAAGTTGTTATTTATCACCTTTAAAGCGCTCCATGGCTTAGGACCTGGGTACCTACGAGACCATCTTTTGCCACCAATAGCCTCCCACCGACCAGTTCGTTCTCACAGGGAGGGACTACTCAGGGTACCGTCAGTCAAATTATGTCGACTGGCGACTCCCAGGGGGAGGGCCTTCTCTGTGAGGGCTCCAACCCTTCGGAATGAAGTACCCCCGGAGATACGGAATATCCCTGATCTCCGTGCTTTCCGCCGTGCCCTTAAGACCCTGATGTTCCAACAGGCGGGGCTAAACATATGAACATGTGAATGATTTTTTTAAATGTGATCTAATTCTGGGTTTTATTTAATTGACCAAACTAAGTAATAATTTTAATTAGCAATTTTATGATGTTTGTGTGTCTATATTTTTCTTGACTGTACACCGCCTTGAGTCCTACGGGAGAAAGGCGGCATAGAAATATAATAAATAAATAAATAAATAAATAAATAAATAAATAAATAAATAAATCAGCAATATTTGAAGGTATATTATGCCCATGGCTCCAAGTTTGTGAACATCTTCATGTCTGACCTAGTACAACTGCTCTTTTTACTTGAGATTCATTGATGACATTTAAACATCTGGACCCCTGGAAACGAATAATCAAATTACCCCATCTAGATGGGGTAATCAAATTACCCCATCTAAAAAAAAACAAAGTCCACTTTGATGTCATGGTAAAACAACACAATAAACATAAACAGTATTCAGGAACCCTACCAATTACTTCCACCCAGAATATAGTATTGAATATATCTAGCAGTGTGCCGCCCCCTCCCCCCCCAAGTTTTGGGCACCAGGGATTGGTTCCATGGAGAAAGGTTTTTTCACGGACCAGCAGGGGTATAGTTTTGCATCTGCCTCCATCCCATGGATGGGGCTTCGCTTTTTTGCACGGGTAGTTGCTGGCATGCTGGATGCCAGTCCAGGGATCAGGGATTGGGGACTCCTGATCTATAGAATCTACACTACAACTGCATTTGTTCTGGCCAACCTGCAGTGATGTGCAACTGATGGATTAAAATGGACATTCTATAAATAACCCACCTAAATGTAGTAGACAGCAGAGCTAGATCAGGGAGGATTTATTAAAATACCACCAAAAACACATCACTGGCTATGTGCAGTTCAAGCTACTCAGTAAATTGTAGCCTATATTGAAATACTGCATTTTCTTAGGGTGGCAGGTCCATACTTGCATATAGAAAACCATCCAATCTGAAGTAGATGACAAGAAATAACAGGGTTATGATGCTAAGGAAGTGGATAATCCCCACCAACTCCCCACATTTACATCAATAGCACCATCACAGGCCAACAACTTCATACACATCAGAGGCATATACTGTAAGAGATGTTATTATCTCTGGATTCTATGTAGGCCAAACATGCCAAACGTTGCAAAAAGAATTAATGGATGCAAGTTTGACATCTGGATTTAAAGTAATGGCAAAATAATCCTGGAGCATTTGAACCTGGCAGGACACTCCATTACAGATCTCAAAATAGCCGTTTTTGGGGAGTGGGAGGAAGAAGAAACGAGTGAGATTGCTCAACTCACAGTCAAAAGTTTCAGGCTAGCTAATCAATGCCATGGGATTTTAATGTATTACAATTGTTAATTGATATGGTGCTTGTAATCTGTCTCATATATAATTTGCACCTGCATAACTACCCGGTCTTCCCCTCCCTTCTGACCCACCTCATCCCAATTTAAATTCTATGTCAATTTAGCCACTCCGTGCATCCATGAAAGCTTAAGCCTTTTAATAAAATGTGTTATGAAATCCTTGGTCCTGTCTGAGCTTGGTGGTTTGCTTGCAGTCATTTCATTACCAGGTTAACGTCATCAGAGAGTGAATGTGTGATTTGTTCCCTATTTATATATAGGCACCGCCAGGTTAAGAACAAGTTCTGTTCACTGTCTTTAACTTGGATTTGTATTTAAGTCGGAACTCGTATTTACAAATGGACTGCCTATTACTAAAAACGACAGACTATATTGTTCTTTGTCAAACCAACAGAGCACTAAAACCATGCAATGTTTTTAGGAACTATTGAAAACAGATGAAAACCACTATATATCAAAAACACATGGTTTCATTGCTTCATCAAAATGAGGAAGGACAATGCTGTCTGCTCTTTTTAGTAATAGGCAGCATACTTGGGGATGGTCTATGCTAGGGGTATCAAACTCAAGGCCCGTGGGCCGGGTTCTTAAACCGGGCCCGTGGGGCCAGCCTGGAAATATCAAAGGACCGGCTTACAGTGTCTCTACCGGCCAAAATGGGATGCATGTGGGGGCCTCTGCAGTCCATTTTCACCCTCCCCAGCCTCCTGCAGCACTCTGCCGGCCAAAAACAGACCGCGCAGAGGCTTTGGGAGGCCTCTGCATGGCCCCTTTTGGCCTGGCAGAGTGCTACTGGAGGCTGGGGAGGGCAAAAACGAGGTCCATGGGGGCTCTGCGTGCACCCCTGCACCCCATTTTGGCTGGTAAAATGCTGCAGGAGGCATCCGTCCCGTCTCCCCCCCACCCCCGGCCCGCAGAGAACTACAATGCTGACCCGGCCCTCGAAGAAATCCAGTTTGACAATCCTGGCCTATGCACTAGCTTGCCCTATCAGTTTTGGTGAGGGTGCGATTCCTTGGTACTCCCTTGATTAGAGTATTATTTTCTGCTTGTTTGCCTGGTGTTAATCCCTGCTTATCTGGGTTTCGGCTGCTGGAAAGTATGTATCCTGATCTTTTTTGTTTCCTTCTTAGCTTTTTTTAATTGTCTCTTTTGAATGGTGTGTAAGTATGTTTTTTCCCCCGTGTCTATTAATGGATGATTTGTCTGAATTGCCTAGCATTTTTGAATTTAGCTTGGTCCAGAATGTTCATAATTTCTCAGTTAAACTATGGTTAAGTCTGTTTCTGTGGTGTGAGAGTAAGGAATTTTCTGTTCTCTGACTGCAAGTTGGTGCTCATGGATGTTTGCTCTGCAGTCTTCTGCCTGTCCATCCTACATAGTGGAAGGATGGACAGGCATAATGGTTGTTACAGTACTTGAATTGTATGATACAGATGATTTCTCTGGTTTTTTCTTCTTCTTGGGCTCCTGGGTCTTTTGGTTTACTTTATGTTTTGGACAGCTTTAGTAGGTTTGTATGCTATACTAATGCCAAGTGCTTGTAATAGTTTATTGTTTCTCAGATGTTTCTGATGTAAGGCATCATTATCCTTTTCATAGTTTGTGTTGATTGTGCTGTGGTGGATTGAGTGGTCAGGCACTTTTGATATGGATATCCATTTTATTGGAAGATTTGTATACGTGGTCTATTTCCTTTTTCTAGTATTCTTGGATTGCTGCAGTCTTTGTACTTGTGTGATTCAGAGAGTCTATGGAGATTCTCAGTCATCTAGGTCATGGTTGTCCCAATGGTGTTTTTCAAGAGGCAATTGGACTTTCTGGTTTTCTTCTCATCCAAGAAGCTTCTTCAGCTCTGACTGGATGGTGGGGAATGGAAGGATTTATGTTCCTTTCAGACAGTTGGTCATTTGCATCCTTTTAGAGAGTCATATCGGCCAGGGGTCAAGAACCTTTCGGACCTCAGGGACCACTAAATTCATAATTTTAAATCCCGTGGACCACTAAAATGATTTTTTAAAAAAGATAAGTAGTATTTAGTGCAATATAAAAAATGCAAATATTTTTTCTGTGGACCACCAAAAATTTCTCACGGACCACCAGTGGTCTACAGACCACTGGTTGGTGACCACTGATATAGGCCACTTCAAGGTTTATTTGTGTTGTCAGGGTTACCTGAGTGGTGCAAATGGGTGTGGAGCCTTCTTGGAACTGTTGAAAGGATTGCATTGTAGGCTGAAGATAGATGATGTCATACCCCCCCCTCCCGTTGGGGGAGGGCTGTTCAATTTTGACAAAGATGACAGACATAAATTGAGGGAAGAATGCTTTAAGAAAGTAGGTAGGTAATTGGACAGAAACATTTTTTTTAAAAAAAATTGTACATCTTTAAAGGCACTCTTAGAGTGAATATATTTCAAGACAGGGCAGTTACTGAAACTGAGAGACAATAGTAAAAGTATCAGTAAAATGAATCCCTCCAATTTTTCCCTCGAGTACAAATTTACATATTCTAATACTATAAAATGTACATGCAAAGACTAGGTCTAACTTGTGAATAATTTTGACAGCAAAATTCAGTAGAAAAATATCAGCTGTGAACTCTGGTGTTTTGCTATTTACATGCAAATAAGGCACACCTGGAACTTGAGATACACATAAAATAAAAATACCAAGCACTTTACAAAAAAAGTTAGGAATACTGAAAACAGTTCAAGCCTAATTGGTCTAAACAGGAAGTTCTTCAATATTTTCTGGGAATGGCCACTGTAGAAAAAATTCATTAACTTCATTAAAAAAAGAGGAAAACTGAAGTAATCCTTGACTCCTGAAGATTTTGCATTTGTACTGTTCTCTTATAAGAATATGGAAGAGTTTTTCCATCACTGCCTTTTGAGATACTGCTTTTAACTTTCTAATCTAACCAAAGCTCTGCTGTTCCCTGGAGGTGTTTCATCGAAGTAATAAAAAAAAAACACCACCAAAACTTCTTCCTTTTCACTGCCTCAAGTTTATAATTGTTGCTACTTGTCCGAATAAACAGCATTACCTGCATTCTTGTAACTGAGATTGCTCTATATCCTATACCCCTTTTTGTCATTGCATCTTGTTACCGCATGCAGAACTCCAGGGAACAGCAGTAAAACAACATCAAATGAAAACTCTTTCTCTATTTCTGTGCTTCCACTCAAATGTGTCAGATATGAAGCAGCCCATGAGATGCTAGATTATTTAGATCTGCCTTTTGAGCTGAATCTGAATTTTGAGCGTGGCAGACATTTAATGCACCAAGATCAACCATAAAATCTTTCGGCAAGGGAAACAAACTACAATTTAAACAGATTTATAGCACAGGGTTACTTATACCTAATTAAGCCTGGCTCAGTGTGCAAGGTTGCAAATGAAAGCTTAGTTTTCTATTAAAAATAAATAAAAGGTCTTGTACATTAAAAATTAGATCACTCTCTAAAAGGTCTGTATTTTGCCTACACATGCTATGTTTCTACATTTAGATACATTTTTATGTGCAGGACTATTCAAACCAGGACAACTTTTTAGCTACCTCTAGATCTGGCTTTATCATCTCACTGATGGGCAGAATTCAAAATTTATATTACCTTTTGGACAAATGTAACCACAAAGCAAAATAATGTGAAATTCTTTGTCCAGTCCTAAATTACAGCATCCTTGACAGTCCTTTGCCTTGCCTAACTCCTTAAACACGCTTGACATAGCATATTTACCATCTCTGTTTCTATTGTCTTAATAAGTACTGCAGACAATCACAGGTTTATACTTGAAAATAACTTAATAAACACTAAGGAAAATGCTATCAGATCAGTCCATAGACTGGATGAAAAAGATCACGCCTATTACGCAAAATTCACTTCAACTTTTTGATGCATAAATAGCCAGGCAGAAGGCTAACCAGTGTCCACGGAAAGGACCTTTTATGAAAGTGTCATATGTAGGAGTACCTTTTAAAAAGAAATGATCCTCTCTTTGACAGAGAAGAGCCTTAGCATGAAAGAAAAGGGAACATGTGATGAAGTCCTGTACCAATATAAGATGAAGGTGGGCCCAGTTCCGGAGCTTGCTAGATGGATCCATGCGTAGGTTTCTGGCAATTTGACTGTCCTTATTGCAGTAGGTCTGAATCAGCAGGCAATAGTTCTGTTTTCCAACCCATCTTTTCCCTGGAAAAGTTTATATGCAAAGCAGCACTCTTGGAATTCATTATTTCTGAAAACTGTTGTTACATTCCAGATTCTTTCAAAGTTTTGGGAGACTGGAAGAAAAGAAAAGACAGCTTTTAGAATTATCTAGTAATTGTTTGCCTCCACTGGAGTAAATATTTCATTAGCTCTTGATAACAGACAAGAATTTCAATAGATTTGTAAATCTTTCTGTTTTAAGGAAGGACATTTTCCTGTCAATTAACTTAGTTATTTATAGGACAATGCAACCTTTATCTACATGTTAAAGCAAATAATACGAAGTCTGTAGCACTACAGTCAGGGAATCAATTTTAAATCCAAACTACACAGCCAATCACTTCAATTTAAATGTGAGGCATATGATTTAATAATCCTTGGTTAAGTGGTCTGGATTCTGCTTGATTTAGAAGCTCTGAATAACTAACCTGTCAGTAATCTACAGAAACTACTGAGATATAGCAATGCTTGGGGATCATGCTCTCTCTCTATTCCTACTTATATTGTGTGATTGGTCAGTTTTACTCTGTGTTCACACTAGGAGTAGGTCATCTGAATATCCCTTTTCATGAATCTTAGTGTGTTTTTTCCTATTTTCTTAGCCTAGGTTCCTGGTCAGATTAATCCTTATGTCAAATGTTTTTCCCTCATTTCACATTGACATACGCTCTCAAATATTCATATAAAATGACCGAAGAGATATCAAATACACCCACTTGCACCTCATTAGAAGAAGCAGTCATTATTGGTGATTGATTTGCATGGCTTCTAAAAACAGGATGACAGGTTCCAGGTTTTGATTCAGGTTTAGTCTGATTCTTGATTGTTTTTAAAAGGGCCAAGTGGAGGAACATTATGGCCAGGCTCAAAGTCAAAACAGTATTGCAGGGCAGCTCCACACTCAGAGGGGGAATCTGGAGGATGAAACCTTTCATCAGCTCTTACCCTTAACGTGTTGGAACCGGATGTGGAACTGAACTCTGAGTACTTGTCAGAACTCTGGGTCTTGCCACGTCTGCCCTGGCACAACCAGCGGTAATAGTCGTCACGCACCTAGACACAAACAACAACTTTAGGAAATTCTAGTCTTTGTATCTGGGTCTTTCCCCTGCTTTGCACACATACACACCTTGATACTTGTCAGTCTTTGAGTCTTTTTTTTTTTTTTTGCCAACACCCAACATTATATGCTCAATTTACAGTGTAATGCTATACTTGTCTGCTGAGAAGTATATCCTATCATATTCATTGTGCTTTACTCCCAGATAAATGACCAGAAGATTTCAGTCTCTGAGCTGGTTCTCAACGTATTTGCCTTTCTACAAACGCAGGTACCTGTTTTTTGAGTACACAGTGCAGGACGAAGATAAAGAGACCCTGTAGGCTGTTCAAGATGGTGAAGAGGTAAGACAGGACGAGGGTTTGATTGCTGAACTGAAACAAGCCAAAGATCCAAGTAATGCCTAGAATACAGAGCTGTGCAATGGCTGTGATTGTGAGTACCCTGTAGGAAAAGAGATTTAGAACACAACTTAACACCTGTTGCTATGGTCCTTGACCTTATGTAATGAGAACTAGCCTTGAAACAGAATGTGGAGGGCATCTATTACATCAAACAGGGCTAGGTAACAGCCTATGCCCTAATTCTCCACTAGGATTATATTAGATGGAGTTTTTGAAAATCATTTTATTAAATAAATCATTTATTATCCAAGGGGATTATTATAATCTCACCAGTTATTAATTCCTGATCTTTTAAGACACAGATGATCACTTTTTCTTGGCTACTTACCTCTGCTTTTTCAATTTAGTCAAATCAGGGTTAATGTCAGCAAACTTCTCGGAAAGCCTCCAGACAGTAATAAGAAAGACAACAGCATTGACCTGTGCAGAAAAGATTGGATAAGGATAATCAGGCTTTGAGATGAGCACTAGCGTAAATATCACAGCTTTTCCAGCTTCCTTAATGGAAGCTTAAAGATAGAGTATTAAGCTTTTGAAAGCTGGACAGTGTTAGAATTAGAGAATTCTGCTTCAACAAATTAAATCCAAGCTGTATAGCCACCAGGAGTTATTTCAGTTTCGTCAGTTTATTTATATCAGATATGGGGTGGGGGTGGGGAGAAGCATTTTAATTTGACATCAGATAATGTATGTGAGAACTGGGGCGAATGCTTTTCTAAAGGAGAGGCAAAAGTTGTCCCTAACAGAGATGGATCAAGGGACGTATAACAGGAACTAGACGACTACATCCAAAGTTACATCCAAATAATGATGCCTTCAAAAAAGTTATAATAGACAGAAACTGGGATACTGTTCAGAGATTAACATTTTAAGTGATTCCCAAGGCAGAGATTAGAAGGAAGAAAGAAGACTTGAATATGCATTCAGCATTACCATGATGATAAAGGAGACAGGTCCCAGGAAGCTCCACAAGAACCCACGTTCCCTGGAAAGCCAGCAGCTGTGTGAAAAGACAAAGAGTGACTTGTTTTGTAGGTAATTGGACCTATATAGTTCTTTTTGGACTTTTCACTTAGATCTGTTCCTCTGCCTCTTTAGAAATTCACTTTCCTAAGAAAGCTCACTACAAGTCATGCAGGAATGTGTAGAAGGGAGGGAAGTCTATGTCACAGGGGCTTAAGGCTGTCCAGAGTAGGTTCCTCTACTTGCCTGCTCAGCCCTTTTACTTCACAAGCAATTCCAGGATGACATGCACCAGAGCAGGGGTCTCCAACCTTGGCAACTTTAAGACTTGTGGACTTCAACGCCCAGAGTTCCTCAGCCAACAAATCTCTGGGAGTTGAAGTCCACAAGTCTTAAAGTTGCCAAGGTTGGAGACTCCTGCACCAGAGGACCCAGGGACACATTCATATTCAAGATCCTGTCACCTGACCTTCAGTGCACAATGCACAGGTACTCTTTTAGCCCTTGGCTGGGTGTGGGGTGGGGTGGGGTGGATGGGAACCCAAATTCAGGACTCACTTTCTGCTGCTGTATCCTTTGCTGTTGATGGCAGCGGAGATGCCCACCAAGACAGCTGGGAACCCATATCCCACAAGGAAGATGTGCCAGTGTTTAAGGCTATGTGTGTTGAAGACCTGAACTACCATCACGTAGAGCTGCACACCCTCCAGTAGCATCCAACAGAAGACGCAGAGAAAGGAATAATGGAGCAATCCAGCAATTACAACACATGCTGTCTAAAAAGGGAAACAAAAATTAGACTAAGCTGTTCTGGCAGCAGTTTCAAAATCCAGTCTAGTCTTCAAATATCCTTCTTCCCAGAGGAGGACATCATTCATATTCAGGAAAATTCTCTTCAAACAGAAATGTGATGCACTATTTGTTCCTACTCCTTTAAGGTCTAACAGCACCCCTTAATACTTGTGCCTCTTGGCATCTTCACTGTTTGGTCTATTAGATACTTGAAGGAACAAACACAGACCTTCAAAAGGTTAGGAACTGGACTGGACTTATTGACTATAGAAGGAGCTGGCAAACCATGTTTAGGCAACTTTCCCCTGTGCAAGTCAATGGCATTTAACTTAGATAGTGGGAAGGAGAAGAGTTAGCATCCCACTGTCAATTCCCGGGCTAGAATTCCAAACTCTCCCAAGTTCTCTATTAAAGGAGGGGGAGATGCATTTTCAATGATATTTTAAAAGTGGGAGGTATGGGCTCATTTTTTAAATGCACATTATAAGGGATATTTTTTAAAAACTTTGATTTATATGCCGCCCTTCTCCGGAGACTCAGGGCGGCTTACAATGCGTTAAGCAATAGCCTTCATACTTTTGTATATTTTATACAAAGTCAAGCTTATTGCCCCCACAAACTGGGTCCTCAATTTACCTACCTTAGAAAGGATGGAAGGCTGAGTCAACCTTGAGCCTGGTGAGATTTGAACTTACAGTAATTGCAGACAGCTGGTGTTAATCACAATGCTATCAGTCTGCTGAGCCACCAGGCCCACACCCAGCCTTTTCCATTAAGTGGAGGATTTTCCACTTATTTCTCTCAGCTGTTTTGCTCAGAATGCCTCCCCCAAGTATGTAATCAAAATCCTTACCAGTTACTTACAGTATTTCTAGATATCCCAGTGCACAAGAAGATGACATGGGCAGCAAAGAGGGACAGGCAAAGGTGGAAGTGGATGGTGGTGCGGATACCTTGGATGGCACGGCAAAACAGGAAGGTGAGGATGGAGAAGAATAGGCAGATCAGAGATACAACCAGCCCAACCTTTGTGATGACAGACAAGGTCCAATCCTGGAGTAAAAACCAGTATAGGCAATTAATTAATTAAGGCAATGCAGTAGAAGTCAGGTCTTGTCAACTCTACTTGAAAGAACCTCACAGAAGCTAACGACTTAAACTTAAATTACCAATATCTAGTGACAATTCTTTAATGCTTCAGGAGAAGACAATAAGAAGAAGGGCTCAAAAATCAGTCTGAAAAGTAGTTGACCAGCCCAGATCTCTGGCTGAAGTGTTGTTGTTTTTTTTTTTTTTTGCTTTCTGGACAGCCTCCTTCATGCCTCCTTAAATACCAGGAACCTAATTCTCCTTAAAGCAGTTAATTCCAATAATCTGATCAAGATCTCGGTTCTAATTTTGTCTCAATGCTTTTACTTTAGGAGGCCATCATCTTCATTACTCCCATGATCTTGCTACCATTTTTGTAGTTCCCTGGGCAGTGAAGGACCTGCAGGCACCATTTCCCCAATATTCCGCTGAAGGGAGAACAGGCCAGTCTTTCATCAGCCAACCAACTGAGTTGGCCATCTGCAAAAAAAAAAGTCTCCTTTTTCTTGTCATCTCGGGCTTGCTTCGACCTCATCTCAGGACATATTTTGTCTGAGCCTCGGGTGTTTGGATGTTCTTCTAGTGGAGGTACTCCAAATGAGTGAGCAAACTGGTCAGCCAAGGAGAGACAAGATGATGGTGAGAGTGGAGCAATGGGTGGAAGTGCAAAAATTTATTTATTGCGACTTTGATGCCACCCAACTCCAGGTTGACTCTGAATGGTTCACAATATAAAAACCAGGATGGTAAGTAGGCCATAGTGAAGTGGACGCCACAGAAACTGAATAGCCTGAGACGCCTGCTCTCTTCTGTTAAAAAAAACCCTCTCCCATTGCCTTAAGTTGCCTTCCTCTCTTGTTAGTTTTTAATCAGCAATTTTATAATTAGTTCAAACAACTTGGATACCTAATATATAATTTTTCCATGTCTAACACAGCATCTTAAAAGAGATGGTGCAATTTCATAGATAAAAGATACGAGTATTAACAGGGGTGGGATTATATTGATTTGGACCAATTCGGGTGAACCGGTAGCTCTGACGATCAGCTGGGAGCAAACCGGTTCACTCTGATGATCTGGTGGACCCACCCACCTGCCCCTGCACTTATATCTTCTCAACTGATTCGTGTGGCAGAGTGGATTGCCGCACTTCAGCTGTGTTATTCTCCAGCAGTAACGCGGAAGGTAAGTTTTCGTAAAACTGTGCGTCAGACGCATGCACATGCAAAGTGCCAGCATGCACAAAGCACCAGCACGCGTGCAAAGCTCACAATCACCGAACCGGTTGTTAAACCAGCAGGAACCCACCACTGAGTATTAATACTTGTATTAGAAATGCATATTTCTTCTCTGTTATACAAGGAACTCCAATTATGAGTAACAAATCAATCCTACACCCATTTCTTTTACCTCTCTTCCCTGTCTTAAACCCATCCCTAACTGGTCTACTTTCTTGTTGGGACTTGCCTCTATATCATAGAAGGCCATGAGGACTGCAAAGCTGGTCATGTGTTTGCAGCGGCAATATGTCCTGTTGGCAGTACTGGAGTTCAGACGTACACAGCCTTCTTGAGACCAATGTCCGCCTCTGTTGGTGGGCTTCCAGAAAGCACAAATCACCTTCAAGTCAGGCTTTAATTCCTAGAATGTAAATATAGGAATATGGGGACAGGATGAAATGAGCCAACATTGTCAAATACACACATTTGAAATCTGCATATATTGTCGGCCTTTCCAGAGAGACCAGACGGGAAACATGATCAGATGAGCTAATCCTACTTTACTGTAAGGCTGTATTTAACAGAATCTTGCAAGTCTATATAAGTAAAAATCTCCTGCGGATTTCTTTGCAACCTGAGATATTAGGAAGGGTGGTTTTTTTTTTTGAGCCTTCTGCTCCACTCGCTACAAGTACGCTCGCTTGACTTAATGACAACTCATTTAAAAAAACGATTCAAAAATACAACAGCCTTGGAAAAAGTGACTTACACCCTCTGCTCAAAGTTATGACTGTTGCACCAACCCCAGTGCTCACATGATTGCAGTTCAGGTGCTTGGCTTGCATTTATGCTGACTCTGTAAACCGCTTAGAGTGGGCTGTAAAGCACTGTCAAGCAGTGTTAAGGATATTCTTGGTTCATAACCGATGTTATGGGTTATTGAGCAGAGTACCCCTTGAGTATGCACATGAAAGCGGCTGAGAGTGAATAACCACAGTTAATATACTGACACACTGAGTTGTGGTAGTCTTTTACTTTTTAGAAAAAAAGTAAAGCAAAGCCCAATAACAATCCAAGTCATACACAGATAAAGCGATAGTTAAAATATCAATTCAGGGATATTCCAAGTACAAAGTCTTCTTACCAGTTGTTGTCATTACCCAATAAAACAGTTCTTCTTGAGTTTCAAACAGGAACAAGTTCAATATTAAAACATTCAATAAATAGTAGAAAACAACAAGTAGCAATGATCAAACAGTGATCATGCAGAGAGAACAGGTAGAGAGTAACAGCAAATAAGCAGATAAAATGGTGTAGTATCCACAAGCTATGATTCAGGCTTCCCCTTAAGTACATTGGCTACAGAGCTTAGCCAATCAGGATACAGGATGATGCAATACAGTCTTAAAGCAATACAATACCTTTTGACAAACATGTATTGATAGTTATATATTGCCTGACCAACTAGTTAGACAATAGCCATTTCCTAATAAGCAGTATATAAGTCAAAGTGCTATTGCTATTGCTACAGTGTTTGGGATCTTGATTGGCAACCTTCCCAACCAGCTTCTGACAAGCGAAGTCAATTGAGGAAGCTGTATTTGCTTAATGACTATATGTTTCACTTAACAACCTCATGATTTGCTTAATGACCATGGTAAAAACGGCCATAAAATTGGGTGTGCCACAAGACGACTCACTTAATGACTGCATCTCTTAGTGACTGAAAGCCTGGCCTAAGTTGGGTTTGTAAGTTGGGGATTTATTTCCCCCCTTATCTGATCATGCCAAAGGCAGCATCTCTTCACATGTCTACCAAGATCTTTCCCACATGCCTCTACGCAAGCAGAAAGCAAGGAAAGTAGACAAGTTGGGCTTCCTGATCTTTCATGTGAACCAGTGTCAAAATCTGATCTAGCTTTGTGTCTGGCTAAGTAGAAGACAAGTACATTATACAGAACCTTCTCTTCAGGAAAGGTCGTTTTCCTTGGGTAATTGGCTATTATGAGAGTAATGGAAGGATATATTATTGCCATTCTGTAGACTGAGAGAAGACAAAGAAGACATGGATACTCACTGGTTTTGGATGGTTAAAGGTGACTGTGATGTTACTGCTCAGGGCAGCAGTCTCATTATGGCCTACAAAAGCTGAGGCCACCTTGGACAACACTTTATAGTTGGGCTTGCCGGGCTCTTCCATCAATTGTTTGGATTTTCCTATTTGTTCCCAGTCACTTCCTTCAATATCTGCATTCGTCAGGATGCACCCTAGATTCTGGTAAGAGAGGAGGCCAACAACACTGGGGCCTGAAATGGGAAGAGCAATTCAAATGTGAGGATGCAGAAGTTACTGGGATGAGACAATCCAATGCTGATCTACATAAGCAGGAGAATGGAGTGAGTGGATTCTCTCTCTTTAAACTAGCAATGGAGAGAAATAGTATGTGCAAATTCAGGTCTATGTAGGAAAATAATCTTTGCAAGAAGAGAACTAGCACAGCAGGGAATTTTCTCTTGGATAATCTTGGAAAGAGATTCATATAAAATATGTTAATACTCCTCTCTCTCCATAGTCTCATTGTACAATTCCCAGGTAACCATTTTTTTGGTGTTAATAATTTATTCTAGTGCTCCAGATATTTGTATTCTATATAGAATTTAACTATCATTTTTAGGAATTTAAAGAATATAGCATATTCAATTGCTTATTGGAATAATAGCAAATTATAATTTATATAATATAAACAATATTAAACAATATATTCCTTGTTTATTCACCTGACTCTATTCCTTTGCCTCTTTTGTGCCTTTTCCTTCTGTGTATATATTTTCCCCATTTCAATAAAAATGTATATTAAAAATTTATTGTGGTCATGTATCATTTAGTTTTAAGAAACTTATCAACACAAAAAACTGCCTGTCATTTCTTCAAAATATAAGAATTGTCTTTCATCAGACTGAAAGCCCATCCAATTTAGTATTCTATTGATAAAAATGAACACAGATGATTCTGGGAAAAACACGCAGAGACAATCTTTCCCTTAAATTCTCTAACCCAAAACATTATTTAGAAATACTTCAGAAATTGAATGCTCTATTCTTCATTCTGTCAAATAATTTTTAAAAACTACACAAGGTCTTCACTAATAGTGGTAAGGAATTTCATACATTAAATCCAACATTGTGTCCTGAATATTTTCCTAATTAAACTCCTTTGAGCAACCCTCTCATCTAATAAAGTAAGAAAAAAAACTAACAACCTTTCTTATTATTTTTTAAATAAAACATTAACATGTCTTCACAATCAGTTGTTTTCCAGTACTTCATTTCTCTTAATAAAAGTTCAGAAGGGCTGCGAAGGAAATACTACCACATTTTCCCCTCTCCTGGCCCACGCTGCTTCTTTAATTCTATTTCTCTGCCCATTCCCTTGGTGAGGCAACCTATGGCTCAAATAAACCTATTTGTCTGCCTAAGTGATGCTTGGTGGAGCAGAAGAGGGACAGATTCACTGGTCTATAAAGAAAAACATGGTCCTTAAACACGGTCACTCATGTCCTCGTCACTTCTCGCCTGGACTACCTGGGGCTCCCCTTGAGGAGCACCCGGAGGCTCCAACTGGCGCAGAGTGCGGCCGTGCGGGTGGTTATGGGAGCAACGTGGTGCTCCCATGTAACACCTCTCCTGCGCGAGCTGCACTGGCTCCCGGTGGTCTTCCAGGTGCGCTTCAAGGTTTTGGTTACCACCTTTAGAGCGCTCCATGGCTTAGGGCCTGGTTATTTACCGGACCGCCTGCTGCTGCAAATGGCCTCCCACCGGCTGGTACGCTCTCACAGAGAGGGACTTGCCGTCGGCCAAACAATGTCGGCTGGCAGCCCCCAGGGGGAGAGCCTTCTCTGTGGAGGCACCTACTATCTGGAACGAGCTCCCCCCCGGAGATACGGAGGATCCTGGATCTATGCACTTTCCGCTGCGCTCTCAAGACCTTTTTATTTCACCAGGCTGGTCTCCTATTCTCTTTTTAATGTAAATTTTAATGTAAATTTTAATTTGTTCTTAACCTGGGGTTTTAAATTTGTCTTGGGCTAAATTAATTTAATTAGATTTTACTTCTGCTCTTAAATTTTTGTATTCTATGTGTTTTATCTTGTGTCTGTTCACCGCCCTGAGTCCTTCGGGAGTAGGGCTGTATATAAATCAAATAAAATGAAAATGAAAAAGAAGGCAAGTAGAAGGAAGGCCTGAGACAGTAAGAAAGGAAACCCTCTTCAGTGACTTATATATCTGGCAAGAACTCTTCTGCAACAGTTGGTGAAAGAGAGCAAGTTCCACCCTCCACTGACATATGTTTCTTAGCTAATTACTCCCAAGACAATGTGGCTCTCCAAAGAGAAGAGAACCTCTCTCCCATGCCCAAAGTGTGGCCCAGAAGCTTTGACCCCCAAGAAGAGCTTTTCCCTTCTGCTGCCTTCCCTTCAGCTTTTCCAGGCTTTTCCAGGCATATTCTGTTCATATTCACAGCATCACCCACATACTTTGTTATGATGATGCAGCTTTTTACCTTCTTCCGTCTTGCTTGCTGCTTCCCAGCTTACTTCCAACTGTGTTTCGTTCAGCCACAGTTGCGCCAGATCTTGGCTTGTGTTGTCTGCTGTTCTGATTTCCATTGCCAGCTCTATTACGAAAGGGAAGGAAATTGACAAGGTTAGCAGGGAACAGAAAAGGGCAAGCGGCAGGGTCTCTGAAGTAAACATCACTTTCCTCCAAATATTCCAATTATTCAAGCAACAGATTTACCCAGCAAGGGAGGGGAAACTGGGGAAGGAGAGCTGATTTCATATTTCAAAATTATCCTCCATATCCTCCTTAAATATGCTGTAGGACAGGGGTGGGGGACCATGGTCATTTTATGACTTGTGGACTTCAACTCCCAGAATTTCTGAGCCAGCTGCCTCAGAAATTCTGGGAGTTGAGGTCCACAAGTCATAAAAGGGCCATGGTTCCCCACCCCTGCTGTAGAATAACTCCCAATATTCCCAATCAGCCACAGTCTAATTCATCTGGAAGGTGGAAGGTCATTAGGGGTAGCTAACACACAAAGTAGGTGTCATTGCAATGGAGGAAGGAAAGAATACCTGGGCAAGGTCGGCCACGAGAGAAATCTCAAATCACCCCAACTCTGTATACTAACCTGTGCCTGCTTTGGACTTGATAGTGGTGGTTCCATTGGGTAGAGCAAATGCAAACATCCTGAGCCAGGTCTCCATCACTTGCATTACCTTAGAGGCCACCTGGTGACTCTGCTCCTTATTCTCAGCCTCCATCAAGTTCAACAGATTATCCAGTGTGTCCAGTGTTTCCTAAAGCATGATGAAATTTGTGTTTATGGGAAAAAACTGGCCTTCAGAGACACACTCTGGCTCATTGTTAAATCCACCATGCATAGATAGGCACAGGAATGGATAATTTCAGTGGGATTTTTGAGCATGTAAAATCTAAGAAATAATCTGCCTCTTTACCAGCAGACAACCGAATATGCCTGGTGATGTCTCCATTGTTATCGCATTAAAATGGTGGCTCAGCAGACTAAAGCACTGTTATTAACATCCACTTACATTTGCTGCCTGCAATTACTGCAAGTTCAAATCTCACCAGGCTCAAGGTTGACTCAGCTTTCCATCCTTTCTAAGGTAGGTAAATTGAGGACCCAGATTATGGGGGCAATGAACTGATTTTGTATAAATATACAAAAGTATGAAGGCTATTGCTTAATGCATTGTAAGCCGCCCTGAGTCTCCGGAGAAGGGCAGCATATAAATCAAATTTTAAAAAAATATTCTTTTAATTAAAACCTAGGATGCTATAAAGCAGAGCACTGGTATCGAGCATTGTATTTGTGTGCATGAATGCCTCTGGGTCCTACCTAGAATGTACATTTTTCAGACAAAAGTACAAAAGTGCTTTATTGGAGGGGTGCCCTTCTACTCCCCCAAAGAACAAATGCTGAGATGGAAAAAGAGTCTTTCCTGGTCTGTAGGGACTATGAGTGGCCAATGCCTCAATTGGAGCCTACGGCACATGTTCAAAATGCCACATTTTGACCCCATGTGGTTGATGATTCCCGGATGAGAGTATGAGCTAATGTGTTACATCATCAGCTTTCCTCATCCTACACACCTAGAAAGTACTTGAATGACATAGCCAAAGAAAAAAGAAAAGAAACAACAACAACAAAAAAACTGAAACAAGATTGATGTGTCCTCCAAATCGACTATAATCTCCCCATTTTTTACAGTAAAATTATTCAGCTTTTCCAAATTTCTTAGAAAACAACTCTGGATTAATTGATATTGAGTGATGGGAGATAGTCTGCACATGAATTCCTTATTCAAAGCACAACTGCTCAAGAGGAAGTCCATTGATTTATTTTACTTTTGATATATATATATATATATGTGTGTACAGTTAATATTTCGGGTTTCTTCCCGTGTAATTGTGAACATATCCCTAAAAGGGTAGAAGCGACGTTTCGACAGAATCTCATCTGCCATCATCAGGCTTATATGAAGGGAAAGACCCTTCACATAAGCCTGATGATGGCAGATGAGATTCTGTCGAAACGTCGCTTCTACCCTTTTAGGGATATGTTCACAATTACACGGGAAGAAACCCGAAATATTAACTGTACACACATATATACCTGTGAAAACTTACATATATATATATGTATATGTATATATATGTATATGTATATGTATTGTATCCACCTTTATTATTTGAGACAAATTAAATATATCAGTTTATAGTTGCCAGAAAATGGCTAGGAAGGTTAAAAATGGTGATCACATGACCCCAGAACAGTGCAATTGTCATCCGTACATGCCATTTGTCAAGTGCCCAAATTTTGATCATGTGACTGAGGATACTGATTTGTCCTCTTGCACTACATAAATAATCACCATAAGAACAGCACAGTGAGCTTCATCCCCCTGCATTCTTTACGAAACAGGCATTTTGGTGATAAGAAAACTGTTTCCTTCCTCGTAAATGAGGTGACTGGGATCTATTTAGAAATTCACAAGTAAAGGATCTATAAACACAGCCCAGCCAAGAGTCTGTCAATAAAAAAGATGATAATACTGTTATATAGTACATGTTTCTATATACTGCGGATACTCACTTGAATTGTTTTATGCCTGTTATTTTTACTCCAACTCAAATATTTTTCCCTTACTTTTTAGAAGTCATATAAAATAGTACATGTGACTGGAATAAACATAGTTTTAGTTGTTGTTTACTTTTTAAAGAAATTCATGTAAGAGTGTTATTTTACATTATTACAATATATTACAATATCTTTCAAGATATTACAATATCTTTCTCAGAGTTAATTGCTGGTGACATGGTAAGTAAGAAGTTACCTATTTGCTAACTTCTTACTTACCACTAGATTTGCATGGAGCTTTCGTAGTTCCAGAATAAAAGTTTTGTCTACCACCCCATCTATACTTTTCTTTCTCTGTCGCTCCCACTCCCTGTCCATCTTCCACATGAAGCTCACAGCTGGGTTTAGTCTTAAACAGCCTCTAAACTAAGCTGACCTGCCAGCATTGAGCAATCCTTGTTTGTGTTAAGTGATGGGGAAGGGATGGATGGCTCAGGGAGCCTTCAGAGAGAAGAGAGGTTGGGAGGCAGGGATGCAAATGAAGAAGGCTAAGGCAGGCTCTGCAGCAATGGACCAGTAGGAAGCAGAAGTCTCTCGGCATTGGGAGAAATTAAAGGCTTGCAGAGTGCATAAAAGATGTGAACCCGATTGCTGCTTCTTTTACATCGTATCTGGATTGCCAGATATGCCTGGATTTATTGGAGAGTGGAAAGAAATACACACACATGTTCATAAAAGAACCATTGTTATTTGACTAGCGTGTGATAACTGGCTACCCTTTTAGATTGGGACGTTGTGCAATCATGTGCAATGTGAAAAATGCCAAAGATATGAACTGCTTTAGGTCTTAATACGTGATGGATGCAGGGTAAGCAGGGCAGGGAGCTGCCTTCAAGGCATCTCCTGTCAGCTTGTCTTCTTAAATATTTTCCCAAGTTGCCTTTTCCTGTAAGCCAAGAACCAAACTGAAAACATACCCTCAAATGCTTCTTTGAATCCATTTGGCTGCTCACATTTGGCAGTGAACCGAAGAGGTTTCCCAGCTGAGTAGTAATGTTGCAAAGGAAACTCTGCAAAGCAACACCCGGCAAACACCATTAGGGGACAAGGAAGAGGGGGAGAACCATGATGAAGAAATATGAAATCAAAGAAGAGCCTTTAATTCACTGCATATGTGTGTGTGTGTGTGTGTGTGTGTGTGTACACACCCTGTTTCCCCTAAAATAAGACATCCCCTGATAATAAGCCAATCGGGTTTTTGAGTGCATGCACTAAAATAAGCCCCCCCTGAAAATAAGCCCTCCCCGAAAAAATATATATGTACCGTGTTTCCCTGAAAATAAGACCCCGTCTTATATTTTTTTGAACCCCCAAATAAACGTGCGGCCTTATTTTCTTGCCATCTTACCTGATTTCCAGTTCTGTTTCCCTAACCCTAACTGGAGGAAATGGTGGGGACCGGCTGCACATGCGCTTAAATATTTTCAGGGAGGTCTTATTTTGGGGGGAGGTCTTATTTTCGGGGAAACAGGGTATGTATAGGTGTGTGTGTGTGCACGCACGCACACGCACACAGGAGTACACTGGATAGAAAGCCCTATTAACCAATAAATACATTTCAAGAATAAAATTCCAGGAGAATAATTTTCACAAGTGCTATTATCTGCCCTTGTCTCTCTTAGTGAACAAATAAATCAGCAATAGGTATACGTAAGGCTCTCAGCGGTTTGGATTCAAGCTCCAAATAATCTTGAGAGAACATGGGAACATGACTATAGTATGATGCCTTAAAACAACAGCATCTTTTCCCAATATCACATTCTTGAGTCCAATCCTGCAGAGATCTAATATATTTTATCCCTGCACAACATAAATGTAGAAACCATATACTGTATGCCATTTAATTCTGTATCCTGAAAAATCCTATTGTGTTTACTTAAAAAAACCAAAATCTTCTGATCCTTAAGATTACAAGGTAAAACACAGGCAAACTCTTAGTAATTACTAGGTTGAGGCAGTTCAATGAGATAACTACCTACGTGCAACTTTTCACAATTTGCTTAACTGAGGCAAATTATGTCATTAAATTGTATTGTAATGTTAGGTATTGTTGCTGTTTATTTCAAAAGCCATTAGACTGTTGCTCAGGAGGCAATGGTTTGCCAAGTTAGAAAGCAAACTAAGTCTAGAGATCCATGGTGGAAATACCGTTACATCCAGAGATGTGGTGGCCCACTGGGGCCAAAGAGAGGTGAAACAGATGCCTCTTTTCTGCTGTGCCTCTTCACATGAATTACAATGAGAAGGAATTCAAGCCATCTCCAGTGAGAATGCCTTTTAGATCCAGCTAATGAGTGTGTCAGGCCAAAGGGAATGAAAGGGATACAGTATGTGGCCTGCAAGTCTACATATGCAGCCCTGACTAGGTGGCTCAGTGGCTAAGACACTGAGCTTGTCGATCAGAAAGGTCGGCAGTTCAGAGGTTCAAATCCCTAGTACAGGTCTCCTGCATGAGCAGGGGATGGACTAGATGACCTCCAAGGTCCCTTCCAACTCTGTTACTGTTAATCTTATTAATCATGCTGCATTTATGTGCCTCCCTCCACAAGCAGGAACTCCACAGGTGGAGCAGGGATATTCTCATAATATTGAGAGCCTCCAGGGTACAATGACAACCTCCTCTTTGTCAGTGGAGCAGCACTTACACAATATCTTACTGTCATCCCACCCCAAAGGAAATTTAGGATTATCCTATGCATACCGTAAATTTAATCCTGACTTCAAGTCTAAGCATTTAGGACTCACCTGTTCATCTGAACAGTCGTTCCATGAAGGCATGGGAAAGTTGAATTCTGAGGACAGAACAAACGATTTATGGAAAAATATTGTTTTTCATTTCTAAAAATCTCTTCATTTTACTTCTTTTCCTAAGCATGTGAAGTTATACTTTATATTGACCAGATCACTTTACCTCTATCTCTTTCCTCGAAAAAGGAATAAGAAGATGGTTGTTCTGTGTAGAGAAGGCCCAAGGTTGGAAAGGATAGAAAAGGCACCATTATTTAGCTTTCTAGAGTGGTACAGCGACACATTTGTGCATGCTTTGTTTTCTGAATGTGACCCTACCTTTGGCTCTTGGTCCAAAAATGTAAAAGCCTGAATACTAGGAGCAGCATAAAATATTTTTAAACATGAGACTGGGAACTGCGCAATTTGAGAAGATTTTTCTCTGATGACGACTTGCTGAGTTGCTAAATCTGGTAATCCATATCTAACCAGGACTATGCTGGAATATATTTTAAGATATTCTAACTGCATGAAGCCTGTTCGTCCAAATCATATTGGCCCCATAGATTTTCCCATCTGAACTGCTGGGTTCTGGCGAGCAATGCTCCTAACCCCAGAACAGCCTTAATGAGCCAGAACTGAAGAGCAGAGGGGGGCTAATTGTTGCCAATCACTTAGGCTGGAAGATAAAGCTGTCAAACCAGAGTTCCAGGGGAGTGGAAACTTGTCACCCCCGCAGAGATGAGCCATCAGTGAAAGCTGTAAGAAAATAATGCGCCCAGGTAGCCTACTTAGATGTGGCCTGAACAGAAAACGATCACTCTTAACAGGTCTAGAATCAAATTGTTTTTATATGCAGGGAGCCAGTAAAACAAGCTGAGCAAGGAAAGGACTTTCGTTTATTGAGACAATCAAGGTATCTTGTTAAATGATTTTTCTCTTGCGTGAATTTAATTTTATTATAATAAATGCAAACCAAATTGTAATGCTATTTTAAAGCAAACACAACAAGTATGCAATTTTTGAAATTTAAGACAATAATGATCTTGAAACACAAGTTAACATGAAAGTCACTTCTCATACTGTCTGTTAAAAAAAAAACAAAGAAAGAACAAAACTGGTCATTGCAAAACAGAAGAAGAGATTTAACAAAATAGGAGGCCAATTACTTTATTAGATAAGGTCGGATGAAAAACTAAGCCAAAGAAGATTTGAACCTTGCCTTTATTTAAAAAAAGCTACTTTTTGTTTTACTTCAATTGCTGAAATACTTTTGATAATAGCTTCCAAGTTCCTTCAATAAATCTTATTTCTACTCAGTTCTTGGACCGTTTTTATGTAAGGGAACTTACCTAAGTGGTTCCAGCCCTGTCTCTAGCTTGTTGCCCAACAACAAGCTCCTCTGTGGTCTGAGTCATTGTGGGGCTGTTCTCTCTAAAAAGGCTGCTTCTGCCCTTAATTTCTTTTCTCCATCTTCTCCTTACCTTTGCATTTTATCTTTGTTTTATCCTCCTGGACAGCATTGGAATATTGGAAATATCCTTCCGGGCAGTAACACGAATAATTTCCTTCAGAGTTGTAGCAGTGGGCAGTTGCATCACAATAACTTCCATTACACTCATCAATATCTTTTAAAAACAAAAGAAGGATGAATCTAAAACCAATGTAAGACCCAATGTAAGACTACATAATGCGAAAAGGAACACCCCCCAAAAAAGTTCAGATTTGTTACAAGTATTCCCCCTGTGATATTCTAATCATGCTTCTGTAAACCTACATAACACCTTCACATGGATTGCAATAGACCAGTGTCTATGTGTATCTGTATGTGTATGTACAGTATGTGTGTGTGTGTATGTATGTATGTATGTATGTATGTATGTATGTATGTATGTATGTATGTATTTCTCTTTAGCCAGGTTCTTCCTACATAAACCAAGATTTTTATGCAGCCCTAGTTCAGTGAAATCACAATCCACTAGTTTCTAGGCTTTTTTTCAGGCAGCCAGCAAGCACCCTGCTGCCCATTGGGAGACTAAACATATATATATATATATGTTTATGTTTGTTTTCTGAGGTTTTCGTGGGTGTTTGTATGTCGGTCTTTGGTTATTTGGGTTTTCTCCCGCGTAAAATTGGAAGTGTCTTGCCAAGACACTTCCAATTTTATGTGGGAGAAAACCCGAATAACCAAAAACCTATATGTTTATGATATATATATATATATATTGGAGCAGCTAGCTCAGTTTAAATTTAAATTGATCTATCTTAACAAGATAGACAAGATCTCTATCTTGTCCTAGAGATAACTTCTCTCTAGGACAAGCCTCTGAAAAGGAATGGGAAATTGCTCAATGATCATATAGCAATGTCCGTCATGTGTCCCAAATATTTTCCTGGTTATAGAAGTGAAACTGTAAGCCTCAGTATGTGCAAATATTGATGTATAGATTAGAATCACAGGACACTTAGTTTTGACAATTTTGTAGAGGTATTTTAAAATGTGCCATTAAAGATTTACAGGTAGTCCTCAAATTACAACAGTTCGTTTAGTGACCATTCAAAGTTACAACAGCACTGAAGAAAGTGACTTATGACCATTTTTCACATACTTACAACCGTTGTAACATCCCCATGGTCACATGATCAAAATTCAGATGCTTGACCGCTGATTCATATTTATGACAATTGCAGTGTTCTGGGTTCATGTGATTCCCCTTTTGTGACCTTCTGACAAGCACAGTCAATGGGGAAGCCAGATTCACTTAACAACTGTGTTACTAATTTAACAACTTCAGTGATTCACTTAACAACTGTAGCACAAAAGGTCGTAAAAAGGGACAAAACTCACGTAAGAAATGCTTTGCTTAGCAATGAAAATTTTGGGCTCCATTGTGATCGTGAGTCAAAGACTAACCATACTCACATATCCAGAACCTAGTCATTGAGCAATGAGAGGTTTTGCAGGTGATTTGGTTTTGATTTCAGAAGACCCCCTGAAAAGGACTGAGTTTTTGATGGAAAAAAAAATTGAAAGATTTTAGTAGATTAGCAGATTTTAGGATTGGTAAACGAATAGGTTGGTAAAAAGTATAACTAGACAAAATCAAGACAATCTGATTAAAAAAAAATCTGATTTTAAAATTGAGAAAAAGGTTAAATATTTCAGAGTTATCTTGACTAATATGAATTGTATGTTGTTTCAAAATAACTAATGAAGTTAGAAAAGATCTACTGGCATGGGAAAATTAAAAGTGTCATTTTCGGGAAGAGTTTTGATGATTAAAGGGAATGTTTTACCTAGAACGTTATTTCTATCCCAGACAATGCCCATCCTGATTATTTATGTACCATTTAAGTAATGGCAAGAAGATATTTCTAAATTTTTTTGGCAGGGCAGAAAAATGAATATCAAATACAAATTCATGTAGAATGCTGAAGAAAGCGTGTGTGTGTGTGTGTGTTAGGATTACCAAATTTGAAATTGTATTTTGCAGCTTCTTGTTCAGTTTAGATAAAAGACCGAGTAACTTTAAGAAATAGGAGTTTCCTGGAATTGGAAAGAAAAGGATTTAAGATTTGGATGCCAAGGTGATGCCAAAGTTAAGGTGAATGTAGAGTTCAAAAATAATTTGAAATGCCACATTGAAAATTTGGTCTAGGTATATAGCAAAATTGTCTCCTAAAATTTATGGCTGTCACCCTGAGAAGCCATTTTTAGACAGGAAATGATAGTTAAACCAAAATTGTTCACTTATGCTGACCTGCTGATTTTTTCCAAAGGAGAGTTTAACTTAAAAACAACAAAAATTGTAATTGGAAGGATTTAGATGCCATTTTTTTCGATCTTTGGAGGGCAGGTAACAAAGCTAGAAAATATTGGGGATCAAGTATTTATTTTGATGCAGAGGATTTCAAAAATGAACGTACAACTGAAACCAGAGGTGTTTCTTTTGGGTTTAATGGACAAACAAATGGAAACATCTTATGGAACTTTGTTCTTATACATGATATCCAGCAGTGAAATTTGTATATATATATATAAAGGGGAAGGATTTATAAATACCTACAATGAAAAAATGGATGATGAAGCTGATAGAATTGGTGGAGATAGTAAAATTGATAGCTTTGCTGAAAGAAAATACTTTGACAAATTTTATTTCTACTTGGAAACAACTTTGGGACTTTTTATAAGACACTAAAAGAAATTAAAAGTTGATTTTGTCATCTGATGATTAGAATTGGACTATGGAAATAAGGTATAGAAATGTACGGCTTAGAATAAAAGTTTGATATATTTTTTTACTCATATCTATACCAAAGAAAATTAGAAATCATTGTCTATTTTTCCTTCTTTTCCTTTCATTTTCTTTCTTGCACCTTCTATTTTTTTTCTCAGAATTTTTGCTTTTTTCAAATCTTTTTTTTATGTTTATCCTTTAATTTGTACTGTTTTGAGAATGCACACACACACACATGGAACATATTCAATAATCATTGGTAAAGATCATGAGAATTATAAGACAATGCAAATGAGATAACGAATTCTACAGTTCCATGCCCTCAGGATTTTTAAGCATCATGGCCTTCATTGTCCAAGGGTTGCTAAGGGTCATCTGCTACTATTGGTGTTGCAAGTCAAACTGGCTGACATGTTACTTTGCTCCATTGCGTCAAGGAATACCTCAGCTTGAAGTCTCATCTGTACAATTACCAAATAATTTTTAAATAATTTGATTTTTCTCAGCCTCTTCTCTTTTATGATACACAAGCTCCTCAAATATAGTCATCTCTTTATCAGTGGAATAACAGAATGTGGTTTCCAGCCAGACTGTGACCAGATGGCAACCAGGACTAAACCAAGATACTTTGCTGCCCAAGTTAAAACAATGACGTCTTCTCACCACACTTGATTCTGGATATTCCAAACTAACTTAATTGGCAATTGCATCTTATTTCAGCATTGCAGATGGAACAGTTGTCCTCCACTGATGCTGAGGAAATTAGCTGGCAAGTCACTCAGCCTGAGATCATAAACAACTCTCCTAATTCCTCAGCACTATTGAGGAACTATTCACTTCTCCATCCCTTAGGCACAGTTGCTTGGATCCCAAGAGCACAGCGCATGGACAATGTATATCAGAAAGTGTGTCATGGATGATTGTCATATACCTGTTTCCACCATGAAAGACCTTTCCCAACGTCTTTTTGATCCATTAAAAAAAAAGAGCAAATGACTTTTGACAATTTTCAGCTGTTTAATGTAACTTTTACTGACTAAACAACAGAAATCAATTTTCTTCCATTTTAATCCTATGAATGGAGACAAATGACGCTATCAGATATATGTTCCCCTGATTTAATCTCCAGACTTGTGACTATGTAACTTCTGTAATTCGAATCCCAGCCACTCTATGGCATTCTAGGAGTTCTAGACACAGCACATCTGGAGGATGCCAGCTGGCAAAGGTTATATAAGAAAACCAAGCACTGCCAAGATCTCACTAGAAAGAGAAACACTGGTGACTTCAACTAGCACGAACATGTTCTGAAGTAAATAACACATAAAAACCCCAAACATATATAATTGAAAGGAACTGATTTGCCATGGTAATTCATGCCCCAAACATACCAGTTTTCTAAAAATGTTTCAAATAATTGCCCACAAGCATGGTTATTTTAAAGGTAAATAGTTTTTTCATACAGTCTGTTTTTTCTGGCAACTTCTAGCTTGGGTATTTCATCACCCAAGCTAGATAAAATCATCAGTGCACTGCATCATCAGTGAGCACTGCTGATGTTACCTAATTTTTGGATAATGAAATGTCTGCAAGAAAACAAACAAGCTCAGAGAGCACCAAGGGCACCTCATATCCATCCTTAGCTACAAACATTCTCCTTTATTGGTAACTTTCTTGTGCATTTTGGCCACCTGATTCTATCATCACTTCAAAATCAGTCAGCAAAAATAGTTAACTACAGTAGTGACTTGCCACCCTCCAATGTATTATTTTGGTTGCATAACATGTAAATTGTGTTCTCACTCAGCTGTACCTCTGCATAGCTTTCTATCATCTTTAAAGCTCTTCCCATATCCTTGCTTGCATTTACAGTGGTAATCCCCTTGAGTATTAATGCAGCTCCCTTTGGGACCACAGATGGAAACATTCCTCTTGCACTCATCAATGTCTGCAAGAAGAAAGTAGGGCTAAATGAAACATGGCAGAACGCCACAACCGATTATGCCAGCATCTTCCAAACCAGGTATTCCCCAGAGGAGAATGGACTTCGGCTCTCGGAATTCCCCATCCAGCATGGCCACTTAGAATTATAGGAGCTGAGTCCACATAAACTGGAGAAGGCCCAGATTGGGAAAGCTGTGTTGTAGCAAAGAAGAAACTGTTTATAACTGCAAAAGGCCAAGCCATTTCCCATGCAAACTCTGCAAAGCAACATGCTGTAACATATGTGCTTGGGACAAAAACTCTGAAGTGGTGAACTGCATAGGCATTGTGGCTGGGGTACCATATTATGAACAGAGAAAATAGCCTCCTACGTTATTCATTTGATTTAAAGCCTACCGTTTTATCCATGGGACAATCTAAAGTTTTTGTTTTTTATTACAACCCAAGAGGCCTGGTTGAAGAAGACAATTTTTAACTCTTGAAAAGTACTCTTAAGCGAGTACATTCCCCAGCTTCGGAGTAGGGTGGGAGAAACCCAGTACCCTCTTCTCCCTTGATTAACCGATGGGCTCTGAAAAGAGGATTTCTCTTTAGAGGGATTAAAGAATGTTCATGTATTCTAGACAAATACAGATTTGTCTAGAATACATGAACACTAACCCCAAAGTCTGGTTTCCTATCAAACAATAGCACTTCTGTCTTCTCTGAGCTTATTTTCAGCTTGTCCATTTTTATCCAGTTTGTCCTTACATTCAGGCACTGGTGAAGGGAACTGACCACTTTGGGTTTTTTTTTTTTGCAATTAGATGACAAAGAGGACTAGATCTGAGGGTTGTCAAATAAATTTATTTTGAATGTCACTATTTTAAGTAACTGAGAAATCTCCTGTTTAAAAGAATGAAATAGAGATTGCCCAGATAAACAAGCAAGTCCAATTTTCCAAGTAAACAGAAGCTCATTTCCAGTCATGGCAGCAACAGATAAGAAGGAAATGAAGAATAAGCAAAGCTGAAACCATTCCCTCATCATCAGGCATGGTATATAAAATGAAAGTGAAAGGATGGAGATAATGCCCAATGAGCCCGTGACTGTATTTCCCTTTCCTGTACAATAACTACTACTTTTTATGCCATTCACTGCAAGCCCAAACAAAACAGATGACTGCAAATGCTAAGCATTGGAATGACATTCTGGTCATTTTGCCATGAATAACCAGTGAGATTCTTAGTAAATCCTCAGTCCCAATTATTTAATTAGAGTCAAAGATGCCATGGATACTAAGACAGCAGAAAAGTGAAAGGAGAACAGGTCCCTTTGGAGAAATTGAGTTCTCTTTTTCATTTTGCAGGAATAATGTTCTAGCAGAGTGAAACAGATAATGATCCTATCTGTGATAGCAAGATACACATTCTTTTCCTAAAAAGAAAAAGTTCCTGAATTTAAAACCACGCCCTCACAAAAGAGAAGAAAAAAATATGTAAGCCTAATTTAGAGTATTCTCAACAAACTTAAAACTATTCCCTCCCCAAATGGAAAGGCAAAGGAACAAGCAAATATTCATTTTAAGTTTAAAATATACAACATGTTCAGCTGCAGGGAAAAAAAGCCATATTCAACTGCTAGGAGTCAATCATAAAAATAATATTCTGACATTTTCTCCAAATGTGCAGTTTAGTAGCATTAAAATAAAAAAGTAACATAGTAGCTCAATATTGGCACTGTGTTTACTCCAATTACATTTAACTTATTAAAGAGTTCCTTTCTTAATATATTCCCAGAATGGTCCATTTTCATGGATCGCTTGGCTCTGTTTGGTTGATTCCAAGAAGTAACTCTTGGAGGTCAAGACATCCACACTTCTACATATAGGAAGTCAGTGGGAAATGCTAGGAAAAGATAGCTGAGTTTGGAGAGTACCTCCAAAATAAGGGTACATAAACTGTAGGCCCTAAGGGGTGCAACAGCTCACAAATTTTTTGGGGCTGTTTTATAAACTGCCATCAAATTATAATTTTTAACAAAACTAAAAGAGGAAATGAGTCAGTACCTCTGTTTCCCTGAAAATAAGACTGGGTCTTATATTAATTTTTGTTACAAAAGATCCATTAGGGCTTATTTTCGGGTGATGTCTTATTTTTTCACGCCCAGCAGGCCAGTGCTAACGCCACGAGGTGAGATGAGGCGAGGCGAGGCAGGGCAGAGATTGGCACCACACTACGCCCCTCCCCTGTGCTCGCCCCCTCCTATGTGAAAAAGTAAGACAAAGGGAAAGAAAAATTGGATGGGTGTGGGAAAAGGTCTGTCCAGGAAAAAGAAACAGAAAGGCAGAAAGAGGCAGGCAAAAATTCACATGCTTCTGCCCGCTGGGTCACTTCACCCTTCCAGAGAGAACCCAAAGTTTTGATCCTGCTTCTGGGGTGGAGTGTAGAGTGGGGCATACAGGCAGCTTGCCCTGTGGAGCGCCACCCAGCCTTGCATGGCCTCCCCCACCAGGAAGGAGACAGCTGCCTCCCGTGGGATCCTTTTCATTCTTCCTTTAGTTGTAGCCCCTCTGCATGAGCCCCAGGTGGCCAAGGATACTTGGGGTGGTGGTGCCTGCAGAGCCCTGATGCTGACGGCAGCGGCCGGTGGGGTACCTCCTGCCACTGCTCCCATTTCTCCGCCAGTTGCTGTGGCAGGGGCTGGTATTCTTCCTGTCACTGCTGTTGCTGTACAACAGCCACCTCATCCTGTCAGCCCTGGGAGAGGGGGTGTGTGTGCTCAGAATGTGGGGCTTCGAGCAAGTGGGAGGGGGGCTTAATTTAATGCTTTTAATTTACAAAAGGAAAACCTGGTTACTAATACTACTTTTCTTCTTTCTTTGCCTCATTTTTTTCCTTCTCCTTTTTCTTGTCATATTTCCTCTCCTTCTTCTTCCCTTCCTTCTCAGCATCTCTGTTGGCAATCTTGTTGTGCAGCGCTACCAGTGAATGGATCAGGCGAGGCAGGGGGCAGGGTGGGGATGGTGCTACATCGCAGCCCCTGTGCACTCTGCCTCTGCAGTCCAATGTCATCCTCCAATGCCCCTGTAGCTTTGCACATTCACACTTGTTCGCTTTCCTCCTGCAGCAGGAAAGAGGCAAGAAACTCACTCGAGGCTCCAAGGCTCTGTCCATTGCTGCGTCAAAATGGCAATTTGAAGAGAGCGGATTGATTTTTTTGCAGATAGTTTCAGGAAGGTGTGCTGAATCCACTCAGGGCGATAAATTGCTGCAGCGCTACCACCGAATGGATCAGACAAAGCATGAGGCAGGGTGGGGGTGGCACCACACCATGGCCCCTGTGTGCTCAGTCCCCACCATCCAACATTGTCCTCCAGCGCTGATGTGGGGGCCGAGCACGCAGGGCCACGGTGTGGTGCCATCCCTGCCCCACCCCATGTCTCACCTGATCTGTTTGGTGGTAACACTGCAGCAATTCACTGCCCTGAGTGCATTCAGCACACCCTCCTGAAACTGTCTGCAGACAAATCAATCCGCTCTCTTCAAGTTGGCGTATTGACACAGCAATGGACAGAGCCTTGGAGCCTCGAGTGGGTTTCTTGTCTCTTTCCTGTTGCAGGAGTAAAGCGAACAAGCATGGCCAAAGCTACAGGGGCACTGGAGGGTGACATTGGACTGCAGAGGCAGAGTGTGCAGGGGTCACAATGTGGTGCCATCCCCACCCCGCCCCCAGCCTCGTGTGATCCATTTAGTGGTAGTGCTGCACAACAAGATTGCCAACAGAGATGCCAAGAAGAAGAGGTAGGAGAAAGAGAGGAAGGAGGAGAGGAAAGATGACAAGGAAAATAAGAAGGAAAAAAGGGAGGCCAAGAAAGAAGAAGAAGAAGAAGAGGAGGAGGAGGAGTAACCAGGTTTTCCATTTGTAAATTAAAAGCATTAAATTAAGCCCCCATGCTGGCCATGCCCACCCCCACAGCTGACGATCTTAATTGGAGCTTATTTGAGGAGTAGGGCTTATATTAGGCACAGGTTAAAAATTATGCTAGGGCTTATTTTATGGTTGGGTCTTATTTTCGGGGAAACACATTGCATGCAAAGTATTGTGTTAATTTGTAAGGTATTGTGTTAATTTGTAACACTTATTTTAATTAGTTGAAGATCAATTAAATCAGATTTAGATTTTGTCTTTGTGTACTTTTTGGAGTGCAATCCACAGCAGACTAAAAGCTTAGTGGACAATTGGTTGGGCCCATTACCAGATCACAAGCAGTCACTGATGGTCAGAAACAGACATTGACAAGTTTGGTTACATGGCTACAAATACATGCTAACCCCAAATGTTTAAAGCAATGCAAAAAAAAAGTGTTGAAAAAATACAGATGGCAGGACAGCAAGTGAACTGAATTATCTTTAGCTATAGATGCAAGAAACTCTTTCCTTTCAGTCTTGGGTGAAAGGACAAATTTATTGAGAGTGCCATAGCCATTTCCAGTTCCATAACAGTGTAACATTACAGACTTCTGCCTCTGCATTAACTTTCTGCTCATGTGCTATCAGTGCATTGCCTGCAGTAAGCACGTGTGCCATGCATAAACAAGAGCTCCAGAAAGCACTTACCTTCACAATTATTTTCATTTATACTTTTGAACTCCCTTCCTCCATTAGGTAAGTGAAATCCTGGTTTGCATTCACAAAGGACGTCCCCACAGTCTTTTATACACAAAGCATATTTTCCACAATTTTCATGTTGACAGGAATCAACTAGAAGAAGACCATTCAGGAAAAGAAATAATTTGACATCAGAAATACATTTCTTCACTGGGTTTAAATAAATAGAGACCTATCTCAAGAGCCAGGAAAGGAAGGGAATCTAATCTATTTGTAGAATCAGACTGAGAAAAAATTTGAGGGAGACCTTCCCATTAATACAGGGTGCATCTACATTGCCGGAATGGGGGGGGGGAATCTCGTTTTTTGTTTTTATATTACATCTTTTCCAAATTGGAAATAAAAGAGTTTGATCTTTGCCATATGAAAGTTGTTCTTGCATTATGAGCCGTTTGCCTGTTGCCCAGGCAATACATTTTTTCTAAAGGGTTTGCTTCCTGAAAACCTTTTGGTGATTATAATAGGTAACACATACAGATCACTTCAAATTGGACACAAATATAATTTCAGAATGATATCACATACCCTAGGAATCTTGAGAAATATGAAATTATCTTTTAATGACTATAATGTGTTTAATCGTATAATGTTTCTGACATGCTGCATGAGCTCAACTTCACTTGTACTCAGTGTCCAATGCATCTCGCTATAGTTTCCAACAATAGTCAGCCAGCACTGATCAATTCCAGTTGCCCTAAATACTATTTTTTCCATTGTAATAATGTATTTTCCATTGTAATCATTCACCCTGATGTCACCTAGACTTTTGGGAAAGAAGTCCAAGTGTGAATGCAAAAAATGAATCTTCATGGTCTTGTATGCTTGAAGAAGTTTGGCAATGAGCTGGATTTAATTTAGTGCTCTATAGTTGCCAAGAAAATTCTCAACAACATCCTTGAAGGCCTTCCAGGCAATTTTCTGTGGCTCCACTAACAGATCTTCAAACCACCTGTCATTGATGATGTGTCTGAACTGTGGACTAAAAAGAATGCCTTCCTTAATCTTAGCATCAATTATTCTTGGAAATATCTGTCTCAAATAACAAAAACTTTCACCAAGTGGTTCATTTCCCACATTTTTCTGTCCTAGAACCAAATTCTTTCAAAGTGGCCATTTCTTTCTAATATAATGCAACTTTCTTGCATTATATTCCATATGGATATGTAACAACAGCACAGGTAGTCCTTGAGTTACGAACGTAATGGAGCCTGCCAATTACATTCGTAATCCGAGGATTCATTGGAGTGAATCATATAAAATGAAAGTGAAAACTCCCTGCTTTTGCCCATGCATTCGCTAATCAAATTAGCAGGTTGTTAAGTACACATGAGGTATCTCAGGATGGTGAAGGCAGTAGGGGGCCTAGTAATGGAACAGGCCATCTAATTACGACCATCCAAGGCCTCTCCCAACCCACTGAGATACCTCATGCTCCCCAAAATTGCTTCCCCTCCCATCCTGCCATGCTGGGTCACTTATCTTGAGAATACCTAGTGAGCTGTCTCCTCTCCAGCCTCACTGCTGCACAGGATCTTGGCCCCCAGAAGCTTCCAGTCTCAGTGTGCAAAACATTTGCACGTCGACGGGAGGGGCAGCAAAATCGTGCTGCCTCAAAGTGTCCCATTGGCTTGCAAACACTTTGGCAAGCCTTTGCAAAAAGCCTTTGCCAGCAAGAATAAACCAGCCCCTCCCAGGCTCCATTCTTGCTGGCAAAGGCTTTTTGCAAAGACAATTGGAGCCTACAGGGATGCAATCTCCTTGCAGGCTTTGACAAGGAAACAGCAAACAGACAGAAGGCCTGAAGCACCAAAGCCTTCCCTCAGTTTCAAAGCCTTTTGCTGCAGATCTTGTCCAAGCCTCAATTCACAGAGAACAGAGTCCTAAAGCAGTACAAGACCATATGAGATCAGTAGCACAAGATCTCACACTAATGATGTTGTATGATCTCTCGGTACTTTAGGCCTCTGTTCTCTGCGAATGTACCGAAGACTTGAAGCAACAAAGCCAGAGGTGGGTTTCAGCAGGTTCTGACCAGTTCTGGAGAACCGGTAGCGGAAATTTTGAGTAGTTCTGAGAACCGGTAGTAAAAATTCTGACTGGCCCCGCCCCCATCTATTCTCTGCCTCCTGAGTCCCAGCTGATTGGGAGGAAATGGGGATTTTGCAGTAACCTTCCCCTGGAGTGGGGAGGGAATGGAGATTTTACAGTATCCTTCCCCTGCCATGCCCACCAAGCCATGCCACGCCCACCGAGCCACACCCACAGAACCGGTAGTAAAAAAATTTGAAACCCACCACTGAACAAAGCAGGGAAAGAAACCACGACAGAGAGGAGACAGCTCGCTAGATCTTTGCAACCCGGTAGGCATGGTGAATGTTGCAGTGCACCTGCTGTTGTTTGTAAGAGTGAACAACTGCCATGGTGCTGCAACATTCGTAACCTCGGGACTGTGTTGTAAGTACTTGGGATAGGCTATGTTGCAACTTCAAACAGTCGCTAAGTGAATTGTCATAACTGGAGGATTACCTGTATTTGGTATATCAGGGGTGCATTCCAAGCAGCAGAGCCACTACTTTTACATCCCCACAGCTATTCCAATTATACAGTATACTGGATGTGCTTCAGCAACAAATCCGTATGTTTTCGTATGTTTCTTTCATGCGTGTAACATGGCAAACAGGTACGGAAGGGTGTACATTGCCACTGTATAAAAATGGATTAATTCTATAAAACAGTACACGATACGTCAAAGTACAGATTATTTTCATGATTAGCAGCCAAAATTCTATAAGATGCACCAAAAGTGTTCAGGAAGCAAAATCTTTATTGTACAGTGTTATGAAATTGTGAAATGTTTGGATTATGTAGAAGCAGAACTAACATTGGCCAGTTCCTATTTTAAGGTTGAGTGTTAGAGACCAAGGTTAAGGTACCATCTCCATATTCTAAAGAACTGTTTTTGCCTCCATCCTATCCTATCAAAACCAGTGGTGAAATGTAAAATTTGTTATTACCGGTTCTGTGGGCGTGGCTTGGTGGGGGGAGGATAATGTAACTGAATGGGCATGGCCAACTTTTTTTTCCTTTTAAAAGCATTTTTTTCTACATTTTTTCTTTAAAAAATGCTTTTAAAAGGCTCTGAGGATCCCAGCTGAGTTGCCTGATTGTCAGAGGCTTTTAAAAGCATTTTTTTACAACCTCTTCGGCCAAAGAGATTGTAAAAAAAATGCTTTTAAAAGCCTTTGATGATCAGGCAACTCAGCTGGGATCCTCAGAGCCTTTTAAAAGCATTTTTTCTACCGAAGGCTCTGACTATCAGGCAACTCAGTTGGGATCATCAGATCCTTTTAAGACCATTTTTTCTACAACCTCTTCGGCTGAGCCACGCGATCATCAGAGGCTTTTTTTTTTTACTTTTAAAAGCATTTTTTGACTGAAGAAAAAATGCTTTTAAAAGTTAAAAAAAAAGCCTCTGATGATCGCGTGGCTCAGCTGGGCATGGGGGGCAGGGATTTTTGCTACCGGTTCTCCGAACCACCCGCTTCCATCACTACCGGATCAGGCGATCCGGTCCAAACTGGGAGCATTTCACCCCTGATCAAAACCCGCGGAAAGCTGATGAGAGACAATAGGAAAAACAATGCCATTTCTAATTCTAATCCCTGTGCATGGAACATTTTTAGCTCAGAGTCTCAAAAAACTACAAGCTAGGTGGACGGGGTGATAAACAATTTGCCGATTGTAACCCATGATGCTGGCAACAGTTTGCCATTGCTCCCCTCCCCCCAACTTTAGCTACTCCCTTATGGAAAGCAAGATGTTCAATTACCACAACAACTGTCAGGATCACCACTGCACGTCTTATATCCTTTCTTACAGCTTCTGGTTTCTGTTTCGTATATGTCACAAACTTTTTAGAATATACAGAGGGAAGAAAGGCATTCGTTAGAACACATACATGCTCTAGGCCATGCTATATTACACTTCCTCCAAACTAGATTCTTTCTTTAGTAATAACTAATATTTCTGGCAGATTCCCGAACTGTATTCCATCCAATTGTAATTTTTAAAAGGGAATACAGATTAATCAGTAGATACATAGGACATTACATCAGTATACGCCAATTAATTTAGTTCTAATCAATTGCAATTAAATCAAATTTAGATTTTCTTCTAGCTTTATCTACCCTTTGGAGTGCAAACCTCAGCAAAGCAAAAGCCCAGTGGGCAAATTGTTTCCTAAAATGGATATATCCATTGCAAGGCCTCAAGGAGTCACTAATAGTCAGAAATAAACATTAACAAACAGGCTTTCAGAGACTTAATTGGTTTAATACATGTCGTAACTCTTTTTGTTTATGTGCTGTCAGCATATAAAGGAAGCTTATTTGCCATGTTTAAAGAAAGAAAGGCACTCACAGTCGCAGTCATTTTCACTGGAATTCAGGAAAGTTTTCTTTTGATTTGATTTTTTCCAATATCCTATTTTGCAAGAGCAGCTGAAATTCCCAGAGACATTCATACACAAAGCATTCTCTCCACATTCCATATTTCGACATTTATTGTCAACTATAAGAAGAACAGAAAAACATTGGTGACGGGGAATCAGATTATTTTCAAAGTTTTTTTTTCCCAATGGCCAATCTGTAGAGAGGAGAAGTAAAGGGGGGAAAAATGTGCCTTGATACTGAAATCATGTAGTCTGCAGAGTCAAACCAAGAAGAAATTTGGATGAAAATTTTCCCATCACTCCATGTACGTAGCTGCTGATCAATTCAGGATGCATCCATGGTGGCCTGTAGGATAGCTGGGATGGGGAAATATTATCCCATTTTTCTTGTCATACAGTGCTTTTCCAAACGTCGAAATAAAAAGACTGATTTCAGGTAGTCCTTGTTCAAAGTTACAATGGTACTGAAAAAAGTGACTTATGACCATTGCAGTGTGATTTTCACACTTATGACTGTTGCAGCATCCCCATGGACACATGATCAAAATTCAGACGCTTGGCAACTGGTTCATATTTATGACAGTTGTAGTGTCCCTGGGTCATGTGATTACTTTTTGTGACCTTCTGACTAGCCAAGTCAATGGGGAAGCCAGATTCATTTAACAACCGTGTCACTAACTGAACAACTGCAGTGATTCACTTAACAAATGTGGCAAGAAAAGTCATAAAATGGGGAAAAATTCACTTAACAACTGCCTCACATAGCAATGGAAATTTTGGGCACAATTGTGTATTGCATTTTAAGGTTTGTCAGCTATTTTCAGCTGACAAAAGGAATCTTAGAAATTAAACCTAAGGTACCATTGCCTTATTCTAATAGGTCAACATTTTTATTTATTTTATTTATTTTCATTTTTTGCTGCTGCTGCTCTCTCTAACGATATTTTTTTCCGTACTCACCGTACCCAACCTCCCTGGTTAGTTGAAGAAATCTTATAGATAGTAAGATGTCCCATGCCTGCAATGTTTTCCCATCACTGCCCAGCTAAACCTGATATCCTGAGTCATAGTCATCAATGCCTACATCATATTTGCTCTAATAGTTGCAATTTGTTTAAAATATACAAATTGTTTTGTTTTAAACTGATGGCCAAAATTATTTGATGTCTTTTAAACTGCTTTAAAATTTTATATGTTATGTTTTACCGTGGCTGTTCACCGCCCTGAGTCCTGTTGGAGAAGGGCAGTATACAAAATAAATAAATAAATAAATAAATAAATAAATTCAGAGATAAGAGCACCATTAGCAAGAAGTCCTTGCTATTGGCTGTGCTATAGTGTACATCCTCCAAACTGGATCCAAACCCCTCCCCCCCACACACACATCAAGGTAGATAGTATCCTGTTTATTCCATTCCAAGTACCTTATATTATTATTTGGCATAAATAGATTTCAATTATATTTCAACCCATGAGAACATGCTGTTGCCTTTCATCTCAGTCGTCTTGGACAGAAGACATTATGACAGGAGCCACAATTCTGTAAATTTATTTCTGTTGTTTAGGATTTTCTGATAACCCCAATTTTCTTGAGTGATATAATGTGAAATAAATGGACTGTCTTGGCATTCAATGCTTCACAAATGCCTAAAATGTCTGGCAGATCTCGAAAATGTGTTTTGGGGCAACAGAAGTAGAATTTATGTGTGTAAAAAAAATCCCTTAGTCATTTGAAAGGACATGGTTCATAGTTCTAGAGTAAAGAGATCCGTTTATCTAAGTCTTCCCTTAAAAGCAAATTGGTTTCAAAAGTATATTTCCAAATAGCCTAGCATATATCTGCCCTCACTATCAACAATTTTGTTGCAATTTCTGCATTAACTGTTAAGATTTAAACACAACATTGTAATTGTATTTAGCTCTTATTATTTTATATTGATTTATGCTACCTTCCCATCTTTAAGTGATTTTAGGCATATTCCAAACTTACTTGCACAAGGTATTGTTAATTTATAAGATATAGGATATACATAGAATACAGCGGGGTACTGCAATTAGTTACCTGTGCATAAACAGGATGTCTGGATTTCTTTAACTATGTGAATAGCAAACTAAATGTTGGCAAGACAACATTTCTTGCTTCAGAATTAAAACTTTTGAGCCAAGAAGTTGCAATTTTGAATGTATTGCAAAAGCAGAGTAGACAGATTTACAGTCCCATCTGTTTTTACTGATAGTCCTATATAGCTTTTTACAAACAATTTAACCAAGAAGTCTTGATAACCTCTGAATTTATTATTTCTGTTGCTGCTTCTGCACAAGGCTTCATCTCTGGTTCTGAGTTATCAACTTTACCTGACATATCACTAGTCAGTTTCCACCCTGGTTCCCCATCTTCTCCTTTCCTGTCGCTCTAAATGGAGATAACCAGTTCCATCCCAACTGCCTGCAGAAGTCCATGGTTTTCTCTCTTGAAGATGTGTCATGCTTAGGCTCATTGTGATACTTAAGAACGCCAGATATCCATTTTAAATGTCTAAAACTAAAACTAAATTCCAACGGTGTATAATTACATGAATTCATTTGAAAAACCATGCTTTTATAAGACATGTTCTTACTGTTTTTTGCTTTCAGCATCTCTTGGTCTGAATAAGATGATTTTTTTCCCCTGAATGTGACTGAATAGCTCTTGCTTTTGGAATTTCAGCATAGTTTACACTACTCAAGAGTAGGTCTACCAATATTTGGACCTAAAGAATTAAGAGTCTTCTCCACCCTGATGTTATTTAGTAATCAATACTTTTGCAGTCCCGTTTTGATATACCTACTCAAGAGAAATCAAATTTGTTTAATGACAGTGGATTTAAATGAGCATTCTAACGTTTCCAACAATTTCTTGACCCGAGAGAAGCTTACCTTGATTTTGGAGCAGAACTGACTGGAAAAGAAAAACGAGGAGGCCTGAAAAGAAAGAGAGAGAATATAGAGTCAGGGAATGTCTTATTCCACGAACTGACCGTTCCCAATTTGGACCCCTTCAGATATATTAGACTACTTCATCCTTCATCTCCAATTTGCAAAAGTAAAGATGGAGAGGCACTAGACTGCACACTAATCTTTCCTCCAAAGGCATCAACGGTCTTTATCCACGGTGCCCTGGCTCTTACATCCTGACTGAAGTTCTTCTCTTCCAGGGCTCTAGGAAAGCTATTAAGTTCCACCTAGAAGCTCTCACATCACTTTGTTGGAAATTGGCCAATTGCCACAAGTTTATTGTTGCTGGGAAATATCAGCTCTTTGTCTTCAATACCAAACAGATGACAGAAATGGGGATTTCACAGATATCAGAGCATTTATCCACATTAGGAGGTTATGAATAATGTGGGATCCAAAAAGTTACTCGTATGGGCCTTATGTATTGTAGTAGCATTTTTTCCCCCCTAAAAGAATCCTCTCAATTTTAACAGGGGTAGGTGGGTGGGCAGGGTTGCCTTATATTAGGAAGGAGCTCAAATATTCTGCTACTTGAAACCCAAATATTTTTGAGGTAGGTAAAACAACATTGGGGGCTGGTGTGTGTTAGTTCCTCCTGGCACAATGTTCAAGTATTGGAAAAGTTACTACAGGTAGTCCTCAACTTACAATGGATCATTTACCCTGTTTCCCCCCCCCCAAAAAAAGACATCCCTTGATAATAAGCCCAATCAGGCTTTTGACACATGGCAATAAGGCCAAGCGCTTATTTCAGGGTTCAAAAAAATATAAGACAGGGTCTTATTTTTGGGGAAACACGGTAGTAACTGTCCAAATTTACAACAGCACTGAAAAACGTGACTTATGACATTTTTCACACTTACGACCTTTGTAGCAGCCCCATGATCATGTGATCAAAATTTAGATGCTTGGCAACTGGTTCATACTTATGACTGTTGCAATGTCCCAAGGTCACATGATCACCTTTGGCAACCTTTCGATAAGCAAAATCAATGGGGAAGCCAGATTCACTTAACAACCGTGGTACTAACTTATCAACTACAGTGATTCATTTAACAACTGTGGCAAGAAATGTCATAAAATAGGGCAAAACTCACTTAACAAATGTCTCACTTAACAACAGAAATGTTGGGCTCAATTGTGGTTGTAAGTCAAGGACTACCTGTATAGTCTTTGTGGAAGGTTTAGGGCACAGCTTTACCTGGGTATGAAGAAATAATATGAAGAACGGTTGCAGGAATTGGGTATGTCTAGTCTAGTGAAAAGAAGGACTAGGGATGACATGATAGCAGTCTTCCAATATTTGAGGGGCTGCTAGAAAGTCAACCTGTTCTTTAAAGCACCAGAAGGCAAGACAAGAAAGAATGGATGAAAGCTAATAAAGGAGAGAAGCAGCCTGGAAATAAGGAGAAATTTCCTGACATTGAGAACAATCAACCAGTAGAACAGCTTCAGAAGTTGTGCTTCATCACTGGGGTTTTTTTAAGATGAGACTGGGCAGTCATTTGTCTGAAACAGTATAGTCTTTTCCCAGAGCTGTGTGTTGGACCTCCAAGGTCCCTTCCAACTCTGATGATGTTCTATTCTATGGGAAATTGCCTTACTTGGATGTCCAGGCAACTTCCTTCTCCCTATATAATCTTTTTACCATTTTCCATCATTTTTAATACCACATTTCTTTTTAGAGAGAAAATCTATTAAGGATAATATTTCATATTTGCACAGGTGTGCCCTGCATCAGGACTGTCCATCTTCCAAGCCTTTGTGTTAGGAAACCTTATTACTACATTCCTGCCATCGGCAATATGTTGCCCTCATGATGGAATACAACTGGCTTGGAATACTGGGAATTGCAGTCCAGCACAACTGGAAAGCAGCAGATGAAGAAAAAGTAAGTTATATTTGTGTACATTAACAAAGAATAAGCAAAAATATTAAAAGGAAGCTATGACTTTATTTGGATTGGTGGCAATCTGTTGCTTCTTGTATTTACCATTTGGACTTTAATGTTTACAAAAGGGTTTGCTAAGATGTTTTCATTTCCCTGTATCTATCATTTCTTCAATAATTCAGTCAACCAAGCATCTATATACATAATTTCTTTAATTCATGCATATCCAGATGACCACTATGAGCATTGTTCTGTTTCTAAGAAGCATTTTCTCATCTCAGTCAGCAAGGCACATTTTTTTCACTTGGGTGTAAAATGCATTTAGAGCACACCATGGCTTGCAAAATGCTTCCTGCATATTCTCAGAGATACTTTCTTCTTTAATATTTCCCAAGTTCGGTTACTCAGTTTTTAAGTGCGCAAAAGGTTTGAGCACCCTCTCAAAGCTGAGTACATATGGCTCTATTTGCAATATTTGTAAATTTCCCTAATGAAGAAAGACTCTGGGTGGTAAACACTGACCCAAGAATCAAAATAAAAAATGTACTTTAATTATGTTATTGCTGTTCTTAATCCAAAATACCAGACCATCTTCTTCCTCAGTCAACTCACTTATATCTATGAACTAGCAGCACACAATTTTGAATAACTAAGACAGTTATAAATTGCCTAATATGATCCCCTCCCAGCTACCCCAAAGGGATAATTTCCTGTATTTTTTTCTCCTGACAATTTTCAAAAGACCATTTTAAATTAAAATAAAAAACAAAAACCGTGTTTAGTCACTCTACCTTTTCTACCTCCTTTTCACAGCCATGGTAGCCACAGGGGATGTGAAAACCAAAGCGATATTGTACTCTAATTTTTTCTCCATCATGGCAGGAAGGATGGCTGTTAGCCCCCACTCACATAAGCTGTTCTTGGTGAACCAGCTGATCAGAGAAGAATACTTTACAATGCCAGTCAGTTTAAGGCTAACCATAACCTCTCAAGGTTGATTAATGAGGTCAGGAGTAGGGTATCCACATGACATGTTACCCATCAGCCCAAGACACATGGGAACATGGTTACTTCAGATCATTCTGGATCATGGCTTCATTCTGTAATTCATTCTGTGTCTTATCAGTCACAGTACTGGTACGTACTGTGTTTTATACTATCATCAAATTTCTGTAATATAATTTTTTTAAAAAACTTCTTCGTTGCATCTTCTCATTAATCTCTGTTGTTTCATCATGTTTCCTCTAGCTTTTCTTATCGTTGTTTCAAGCAAGCATTTTGAAAGTTTTCAGATTATTGTGAACAAAATGTAGAATATTTTTCTTTTTGCTAATATTTCTTGGTGGGAATAAATACTGCATGCTATGAAGTATTATATTGCAGATTAATAGTATAGAGCAGTCCAGTACTCAACAGTTATCCGTCAATGGGTCCTTTTCTGGCTCAAAACCTCAGCATTTGCCTCTCTGCCTCTCTGCCTTGGAATTTGCTTACAGTATTTGGCTAGGCATTCTCAGATCACACCCTGCTTACAATGCTTCTGACTTGTTATATTCAATAGTGAGAGATGGGGTTCAGGCCTCTAAGCCAATTATGAACCAAGAAATGTTCAAGAATCATTAACCAAAGTTACTCCGATTGGACAGGCAATCTTCATAGTCATCCTCCCTGTGTCTTGATTCAAATGGACAATATGCTACCCTGTTTTCAGCAACTATGAAATTTTCTTAGCTCCTTAGATTCTATTTAGAGTTCCTCTTCCCCAAAATCAGGGAGAGTTCTTTGCTTCACTAGCTTGCTTTCTGTCAACTGGATTTTTTTGTGAGTGGCCCACACCAGCCCTATCAAAACACGTTACAACGTGTTCAAATATTATATGCTGAACAGACGATAAAGTTAAGCTTGCCCAAATCTACCTGACTGCCCTTCAACAACATCTGAAATATTTCCCTGAAAAATATGGAGTTTTAAAAGCAGGGCTAACATGATTCAGGCTCATATGAAATAGCCTCAGTATCTCAGGGCGCTTTTATATGATCCACCCATTTGCCTGCAAAGCCCTCTGAAGTTTTTAAAAATGCAGTGGAGATTGACCCAGGCTGCTCTATTTTCAGATTTGACTGAATGGAAAACATGAATGTAGATGTTTCTTATACATTTGTGTGCCTTGAGTTTGCAGAGAGCCACTGTTTCCTCTTTTGACCAAAATCAAAATGCTAACATTTCCCTCTGTTTTTGTGTTTGCCATGGTGACGGGCTTCTGTTATTTTCAAAATGCCCAACATTGATAGGATGACAAGTCTATTTTACCCTGATCATGCCAGCTCACTCTGTCTGTGTTCCCAGAAGCTGGGAAGCTGGCAAAGCTCAAATTCCTTTCAGTGGGAAGCCAGAACGATCCTTCCAACACAAGGCTACTTTATTTTAAACACATTGCCATTTCTGAAGCACCAGTAATGGGATACGGCAAAAATGCCTGAGGTTGCAAGCCCCAAGGCACAAAATCACAAGATTAATAGCATCTGTGTGTGTGAGAGAGATGCTATCTCTCAATGTGACTCATTAAATACAGTCACTCATGCCCTCGTCACTTCCCGCCTGGACTACTGCAATGCTTTCTACATGGGGCTCCCCTTGAGGAGCACTCGGAGGCACCAGCTGGTCCAGAATGCGGCCGCGTGATGTGGCGCTCCCATGTGACCCCCCTCCTGCGCGAGCTGCACTGGCTCCCGGTTGTCTTCCAGGTGCGCTTCAAGGTTTTGGTTACCACCTTTAGACCGCTCCATGGCTTAGGACCGGGGTATCTACGAGACCGCCTTCTGCCACCAGTGGCCTCTCACCGACCAGTACGCTCCCATAGAGAGGGGCTCCTCAGGGTGCCGTTGGCCAAACAATGTCGACTGGCGGCCCCCAGGGGGAGAGCCTTCTCTGTGGGGGCACCCGCCATCTGGAATGAGCTCCCCCCGGAGATACGGAGGATCCCGGACTTGCGCACTTTCCGCTGTGCCATCAAAACATTTCTCTTCCAGCAGGCCGGCCTGGCCTAACCTCTCTTTTAAATTGTTTTATAATTTTT